AGCATTTAAGATCTTAATGTGAGAGTTACATTGAAAAAAGGGGTTATCTGAAAAACAATTTGGTTTCAAGTACTTGTCAGTGGGCATAATTGACCGTACTGTATGGAGTTGGCAGCTGCAGTTATAGCTTAAATGCAAGATGCTGCTTGCAGTATAAATAAACCTTTCCACTTTATTTTTAGAGTGGGAGTGGTGCAGTTATAATCAGCTTTTATGTGGTTTATGCTGTAGAAGAAAATTTATGTTTGGTTATGTTAGTGAATCCACAGTTTGAATATGGAGTCTCTAATTACTCCACATCTCAGGCAAGATATACAAGCAAAAAATATCCAGTCTCCCTTATAAAAAGTATTTTTTTTCTTTTTAAATTTAGTAACTGGCTAAGCAGTGGTTGGGTAAGTGTTCATCTAAAATTAGGTGCTGACATAAATCAGCAGAAGCCAAGAAGTGTTTGTGTGGCTAATGCTGTAATCACACTGTTAGACATGAGAGGAGCTCTGAAACACCAGGTATGGTGTGGGGGTCATGCAGGCACAGCTCTGGTGAGTGTCCCCTGGAGCTGCCTTGTGTTGCTGGCCTGGGCTGTCCCTGTTCTTCTCCAGTGCTGACCCAGCAGTGCTCCCTGTGCCTTGCCTTGTCTCTCTCTGGGCCTTTTCCCTGGATCTGCTGTTGAATATGGATGGCAATTTTTAAATTTTTAGTTTAACTTGGCATTTTGCACTACTGCTAAACACTTCCAAGTAACTCTGTTTAGGGGGAAGGGAGTTTAAAAGAAATTCTATTTAAAGTGTCAAGGACATGTGCTGACCAATGGACTTGGGCCCTGCAAGCTGATTAGGGGAGTTGATTGGAATGGGTTGGGCTGTGCTCATCACTGTTGGGGCTGACCAGCAGTGCCCCGATTGATCCCTCTGTGTTTGAGGGGTGTGTTTATTCTTTAAATGTCACATCAATAGACTGCTTATACTCTTAACTAATCACACTGGCTTACTTGTCACAAATGTAGGTTTCAGAGCAGGAACTGAGTTTGGAATTATTAAGATACAAGGAGAGGATTTCAAAACAGTAATGAAGCAGGAGTTGGATGCCTGCAGGAGGGAGCTGCTCAGTGTGTGTGCAAGGAAAAGAAGGCATTAGTGTAACAGCAGGGCTGGAAATATCACAGTTGTAATGTGCTGTGTGCATTTTCTAAATAATTGTCATTGAAATGCCTGGAAAAGGGGCTTTACCTGTCATGGGTGGATCTGCAGTGTGAAAACTGAATCTTGAATTACTGAGAAACCTCGAGAGTGTGTCTGAGCCTCTCCATACATCCAGTGTGTTACTGGGTTAACCTGTGCACAGGGGAGAAGGAGAGGTCTCACCTCCTGAACTGGTGCTGCTGGTTTCTGTTTGGTCTGAGGGTGGTCAGCATTTCGTGCACTTCCCAAGTGCAAATTGCCAAATTCAGCTGCTTCACCCAGACCTGACAGTTCTGGCTGAACACTGCCGCGTCATTTTTGCCCCTTTATCTGTAACTGGTCTGGTCCCAACAATCCTGAATTTCTTTGCATTCTACCTCTAGTAGCAGAGTGTTCCAGGAGTGGCACTTTCCCAAGCTCCAGCTCTCAGGGCAGGCACTTTGTTTTGCCACAACAATGCAAGATTACTTGGATATTGAATTGAATATCTGCCCAGAGAGATTAGAACAGTGAGAGATGAGCTCTGCAGAAGTGTTCTGTTTCAAGACGCACTCCTCAGGACTTCAGCTCCAACCCTTTTTGCCAGAGCGGGACCACGTTTTGTAGAGTGAGTTTCAGTAGTGCAGGTACTGCTGTTCTCTCCCCAAGGCTCCAAAGCTCTTTGGGAGAGCCTCCTGCTCTCTCCCCAGGGCTCATGTTATGCTGAGTTTGTGGGAATAGCCACATGTCCAGCACGGGCTGCACAAGTCTGAGCTGTGGGACTTGTGTGTTGAGACTCGAACCCATGTGGTGATACAAACTTTGTCTACGTTTTTTAGTTGCCTTAAAAGAATGTTATCTGAGGACATGAAATGATAAAGCTGCTGCTGGGATCAGTGGTAACCTGACAGTTCCTTTATTTTATACCAGATACAGAGTTAACTTCTACCTCTACCTCTACAAACAGAAATAAAGTGTATTAAAGTGAGGGAAAGCTTAAGGGGAACATGAACTTGCGTAAGCAGCAGAATATCAAGAACACTTGGAAAAGCTTTTGGCTTCTGGTGATGGTTGAGGGGAAGGGGAATGGTTCCCAAGTTAAATCAAGTTGCAATGTTTCAGGCAGTTGCTGTAAGGAAATGGTCTCTTGAGCCTGTGCCTTCCTTCGCTCTGTTTACATGTCCAAGAGCTTGTCCCTGTCTGCTCCCAGGGGAACAGCAGCTTGTTGGCCTTGGCACCCTGCTCACAACCTGCACTTCAGGGTCACTCAGCTCTGTTTGCATTGACTTTCACTGTACCAGGAAGATACATCTTGTTTGAGTGTTTTGCTAAACTCCACATCTTGACTATTTAATGTAACTGCACAAATTTCTAAACTTGGAATTCTTTGTTTTACTGTCTGTCTACATTTTGGAGAATGCTCAGATACAGCACTTCAGAAAGGAGCCGGGGATTGAAGCAGAGGTAGATTTCTGCTGTCATAGGACTCTGCTGAAAGAAAATATCTGGTCATAGAGTTGGGAGCCATGTGACATCAATAATTATTTCCTCTGCAGTTGTAAAGGGAAATCAGTTTTGTGAAGTAGAAACCAGGAACAACTCCCAAACCTTGTACTTTATCTTGCTCTATAAAATCGTGTGATTTGTTGTGACTGCCAGAGCACTGAGTGGTGACTTGGGAGCAAACTGTTGAGTGTCCTTTGACTGAGTCTGTTTTCCCTTTCTGCAGGGTTGGCGTGTTGGAGGACACCTTCACCTGTCTCGGTGTTTTGTGTGCCATTGTATTCTTTCCAATTGGGATTCTGTTCTGCCTTGCACTGAGGCAGAGAAGATGCCCCAACTGTGGGGCAGCTTTTGGCTGAGGGGCTGAATGTGGACGTGCTTACTGAAGCTACAACTGTTAGCATACTCTTTCTAATGTAAATGTCATGTACAATCATTTTATTTGCTTCAGACCTGTTTTGTAAAGTGTGAAGGAATTTAGTCTCTTGCATGTAATTTAAACTTAATCTTTTATGAGCATGTGCATTGCAAAACATGAAAACCTGACTTGTTTTCCATGTTTAGTGGCACCTGTTGAAAACTAAATAAAACTGCTTTTCCTTTTGCAATCCTCAACTTGTGGCTGGATTATTAAGTATGTTACTGACATATCTGATGCTGTGTAGTCTGAAAGCAGAGTAGTAATCCTAGCTACAACGAAGGGTATTTGCCAGAATCCTTATGATGATGATAAATGATGTTTAAGACTGTACATGTTTAGGCCACCAGGTATTTGAGGGAAGTGTTTTAAGTGCTGTGTGTGCTACCTCTATGGCAATAGCTCCCTCTCCCTCACTGCAGGCATAAGTATTAACACACAATCAGAGCTCTGTTTTAATTAGTGAGGGTTTTCCTTCATGCAGGGGCTGGTGTTGGTTCACAGACAGCAGAACCTTCTGCCTGCAGCAGGAAGAGGTTGGGGCACTGCCAACCATGCGCTGCCCTGAGTAAAGGCTTTTGCATCTTAGATTGTGGAATTCTGATAGTGAATTACTGAAAGCTCAGACAGGCCAGGTTGAGTTGCCTGTACTGTGCTTTAGGAGATGGCTCAGGTGCGAGTTACCCCTCTGAAAAGCTGGTGTTGCAGGTGGGGATGGTTGATGTTTATGCAGGGTGATCTGGCAAACTGTCCTCGGCCTTGAACTTGAAAGGCAGGGTGAGAGGAGACAGCACATGCTCGTATACTATTTTTTGATATTAAGTAACTGAAAGGCATTTCACATGACTTGAATTCACTGTTTATAGTAGTAGAAGTAGGCACCACTAAACGAATGAGCCAGGGGATGCTGCAGGAAACATGTGCATGTGTAAAACAGAATGATTTAGAGTAAGGATTAATCACAAGCTTCTAACTTCTGCTCTGGCTGAAGTTAAAAGCTCTGTTTCACTTAACTCAGCTACTGCACTGTGCCAGCACTCAGGCCTTTGCTCAGCTCCTTAACCAAAAATAATCAACTTTAAGCTGTTTTTCTTTTGGGTAGGCTATAGTAATGGAGGAACTTCAAAGGCAGCTTTTTATATTGGCATTTGAGAGAAAAACATGGCACTGCTTTATTATGACCTTTTATCAGACTAAAGTTTGACAACAGTTTTTAAAGACAAAATTATAATTGAAGAATGTGTTGACAGTGTAACATTAGACTGCAAATGAGTTTCTGTTGACTTGAAATTTGTGTGTGAACATTAAGCAAGGCATTACAAGTTGTCTATTCTTAAGGGGATAAATATTTATTTATAACCTAAGATATCTTTCTTACACAAAATAACATATAATCATTTATACAGGCAATTCTCTATTCTGGAATAAGGCAGTTGTTACATTCTTCAGTTTGAAAAAAAGAATCACTGTTATCTTCTTTAGGTGGCATATGCAGGCTTATATTCTAGGACTTACCATTGAAGCTTCCAAGTAATGAATGCCAAAGATTCTGAGCTGTTACTTATTCTGATTCACTAGAGTATCCAAACTATCTCCAGTATTTTCACAATTCCTACTACAAAAAAAGGCATACTGTAAAATCAAGCCCAAGTGCTCAAACACTAGCCCAAAGCAATTAGCTCATTAGAAACTATAGGTTTAAAAAACATCAGAGCTCCATTCCAGTATGTGTCTATTGTACAGTAATTACATTTAAATAAATTTTTAGGACAAGTTGAGATAGTAATTGTCATTGCTGAAAGTGGGTGTTGATAAGGAGGAAGCAGATGTGTCTGACCCGTGCATTCATCGGATAATCGGTGCTGATCTGTCATTTGTTACTGTGGGTCTGAGTTTCACCGTTGCAAAGGGATTTTCTCCACTGAAAAGAAATGCATGAAGTTACTTGAAGGCTTTCTGCAATCCAACCCCAAATTTATTCATCAGGTCCTTCACTGTCAAAGAGTAAGTTTTGGTTCTGAGACTCAGGGATTCTGTGCAACTCTTAGATTAACTTGAATTTTTAAAATGAGGTACATACAAAGAATCACTTTTCAGTGAGCCAAAAATATGGGAAGTTAATGCCCAGTTACATTTGGACTTTTTTTAATAGCTCCCAGTCTTCAAAGGTTTTTGCTTTAAACCCTCAAAGTCAGTTAAAGAAAGGCTTTAAGTCCTGGTCCCGGTTAAGCTACTGGAGGAACATGTTTTTCTGAGAAGGGCCTTGTGCTGCACTTGATGCCACTCTTGAGGAAAGTACAACTAATTTTAGCCATATTGTTCTAGCAGTGCCTGGGAAAGGTCACAGAGAAATTAATGATAAACGCCCTTATTTCCCCTTATAATCAATAAAACAAGCCAATATAAAAGAAGTGTAAAACTATTTTACCTTAGAAAAGGTGGTTTTATAATGCCATTCATGTCAGGTTTCTGTAAAAAAAATATATATATTCACATGAATTTGTAGAAATTTGCTACAGGTGATCTTGCTGTCCTGCTAAGGGAAAGAGACCCTGTAATTAATCTGTATGGCCAGTTTGGTTTTAATACTTCAAATTTCAGTGCTGAACCAAAGCCTGTCAGGCTTTCCATTCCAGGCATGCTGTATTTCAGGACCTCATTCAGCAGGTTCTTAACTCATTCTTGGCTTGTGATTCCAATGAAATTGCTCAAGTATATCAGCTGTAAATAGACTTAGACCTTAGAATTAGGTCTAATTAACCCTTAAAATTAAGAAAAATGAACAAATGCCTGAATTAAATTGTACTGAGCACCAACCCTCCTCAAAGCTATGTCAACTCCTTTAGTCTTTTTTCTATAGTGGATACTGTTGTGCATGTTACTGTCTTGTGTAGCACAGCAGGAACAGTTTAACTGTCAATGACCATTCCTCATCTCTCCTTCTTGAAATCCTGAGCTATTTTTTCTGTGTATTCTGAAACAAAAATAAGATGCCTTGAATCATTTCCTGCTTCTGCATAGGAGGCCCCGTGAACAGCCTGTTTTACACATCTGTAAATCCTGTGTGAATGTACAAGCCAGCCCAGTATAATGTTGGGCTTATTTCCAAAGCCTATGGAGATGTGGGGCTTGGGGACTTGCACGGAAGCAGGAAAGACAAGGAAGTTCTGCAAGAATGAAAATAAAGAGTGACTTTGGAACAAAACACTTGGTTGCAAGTGCAGCAGCTCTCCTCTACAGTTGTCCTAAGAAGGGGTCACAGCAGCTGCTGTGAGTTAGGAGGTGCCTCAACAAAAGTGGTCATTGTTCTATACTCCAGAAGTTCTAATTTATTTTAGCCTTGCTTTCCCTGTGGAAATTTAGATTATCAAAAAAGATGTATTTGTTTTCCACTCCTAGGAGCTATCAGTTTCCATTCTGGCTTCCAAAGAGATTGTATAGTTCTAATTAAAGCTCTGCCAACTGACTGATCTGCCATTCCTCTTGAGTTTCTGGTTCAAGAGGAATGTTAGTCCACAAGCCTTAAATTTATTCCTAAATCCTTTGACCTAATGCCACAAACCAAAACAGCTCTTAAGGTGACTGTTCCTGAGAATGGAGTGCCCCCAGCAGAACACTGCAGGGATCCTGAGACCATTTCACCGATTTCCATAATTCTTTTAAGCTCTTTAGTCAGTCACCTGGTCCCAGGGCACAGAACTCTCCCTGCTGGACTGGCACCTCCCAAGAGCTTTGGACATAATCACCCTTGAAGGCCACGCTGATCCTGCAGGCTTCAACAGCAAGACACAGGCTAAGGGAGCCTCCATAAATTCTGACATTTCACCATTACCAAGGCTTCTTCATTCAAAAATGAAAGCCACAAATACGTCAAAATACACATGTTGGTCTTCAGAATAATTTTGATACTTGTTTTAAAAGTAACTGAACACTGAGATTTAGGTCATATTTCTTGATAATCATTTTATGCAGCAGAAAAGCTTCATTCCTCACAGAAAACACTGTCCCAGAAACATCACTACACAAACTACACACTTCCTACACCACAATGTTCATTACTGAGAAATAAACTCACTTACTTGAATGTGGATTCAAATATATATGCTAATATTAAACTGTTCTGGCTCCTAAAAAAGTGCAAATCTTTTCTGTAGGAATATTTAGATGGAAAAAAATAAAAAGGGGTATTCCAAAACATGACTCATAGTGAAATGGAGTAAGATCTCTAACTGAGAGGATCTTCACAAATCTCCAGCAACAACTTCCATACTTTCACACTTTTTATGTTTGTAATGTGACGTAACCTGTTCTTTTAAGAATTAGACACAAGTCTGTGATTCAATTGCGAACGTGATTGTAAAGGCCACTTCAATCTCAATTTCTACTGTAGGATTCACAACCTTACTTAGAAAGCAAAAACACCTGTCAGCAGGTCAACCTAAAATTTGTTTGGATGCTATACTGAGAGACAAAATATTTAGTCATACCAATAAATAATACCATTTTTAGCTACTGGCAGCCAATCAGCTAATTGTATTATTCTTTGATTCTTGAAGTTTCCCGTGGCACCAACTAATAGAACTTTGCATCTTACTTTGGTACAGTGTCTCATATTTTAGCAATGCTAACCTTATTTTATTTAATTTGGTTTTTGGTTTTTTTTTGCCTCCAAAATGTGATTTCTGCTTCAAGAGGCTCTTTGGAGAAAGTCTCCAAAACATCACCCTTACATTTACCCAGACCTGCATTTAACACGTCATCAAAATACTTACTTAAACAAGCAGCAAGAAAAAAAGCTCATAATTGCCTAATTTGATTAGTCTTAATTTTCAATCAGTTTGAATGCTGCTTAAATACCAGAAATAATAGCATTGTAATACATTATCTGTTAATAAAAAATGTATTTTCACTTAGCTTCAGCTTTGCTGAACACAGGCAGGAGTTAGTACAGCCCTCCCCTGGCAATAGCTGCAAACACAGATTTTATGCTGCTGTAAGTCCCCTGTGCCCCACAGCTCTAACATCACTGGAGGTGATGGATTTGTACTGCTTTCTGTGAGAATTTCTTTTCATCTTTAACAGATTCCATGGCTGAGAAGTTTTGCTCTGCAGGGTAAGTCTCCTGCTATTGTCAGTTACATATCTGAACAATTCTCTCCCTTCCTGTTAGGATGGATGGACCGAAATGCCAAAATCCCTGATACTGCTGGAGACAGTGGGTCAAAGGGCTGAGGTCAAGCACAGGTGGGTGAGGTAGGAGATCCCAGGGCCTCATTTAAGAGCCCATCCAAGCAGGTGGAATATTTGGGTTCCCTGGCCCGGGCACTCACCGGGCCCGCCTGCTCCGCTCGGTCGGTCGGAGTTTTCACAGCAGCCCCTTTGGCAGGCTCCATCCGTCTGTCTGTCTGGGCAGCCCCCAGGTAGTCTGGTGGTGGGAGGACAACTTCCCCTTTCTCCACGAGGTTCACAGAGCTAACACTTCGGATTGGTGCAGGGCTGCAAGACAGAACCCAACAAATACCAGTGTCAGATGCCAGAACCCCCCTCGCACTCTGTTCAGCACTGCAAAGCTCAGAAGGGCACGAGCTGGAAGGGAATAATGGGTGCCATGTCCTGGAGCCAGGGGGACTCTGAGTTAAGGCTGTTCTAAAGCTACTCCTTGGGTCTGTGTGTAACCATTAAAACACATCATTAGCATAATTAAGGCATTGTACTACAGACTATTAGAGAGTATTTACTGTACATGTTACTGAACCTCAAAGAACATGAGCACAAAAATAACATTTTCAATAAATCTGGGCATTTCTGCATGTGCCACCCAAAATATTACCTTGGCACTGGGGCAAAGGCTTTTTCTTCTGCTGATTCATCCAGTGGTCTGGTGTATGATGATGGAAACCATCCTTTTCTGTAAAGGGAAAGGTCTTTTATATTATATAAAATTGGAAAGATCTTTCAAAATACAACAGTAAAGTCAGCAAACAGATTTAACTTCTGAAGAAACCAATTTCTGATGATGCCAAGTATGTGCAGAGATTTTCCTTAGAGGGAGACCCCAAGTCCCTAGTCAGTGACAGCCAGTAAATCTGCTAACATAATCTGGTGAGACACACTTTTACTTCATGTTCAAGGTGGGTAATGATTATCTTACAGTCTGGTTGTGTCGTGCTCCCCATAAAGCCAGCCATCCTTTTCCTCAGCCACCAGCAGGGTTATGATATCCCCCTGGGCAAAGCTGAGCAATGTCTTGTTGCTTCCAGCAGTGTGAGGGAAGATTGTCTTCACTTTTTGCCTTTTCATTATGTTCAGTCCCGTGGCAACAGAAGTTGAACGTGATAAACTGGCATCATCTGAATGCTCTGTCAAAAAGAGGAAAAAAAAATTAGCCACACAGAAATAAATGCAATTAGTAATCTGAGAGGAAAAAAATAAAGGAAAACTCAAGTGAAAGTGGAGTTCTGAGACTTTGTACTTAGACACCTCTCACTGCCAATGTTTCTTATCACCATTTCTTAACTCCATATGCCTTTATATGCACACACCCAGCATAATAAAATGGAACCAACAGGCAGAAAAGTTCTGTGAGTTTTAACTGGCTACTTCTTTCCTCTTTTGGCATGAAAAGTACTAAACAATCACATGTGTAAAAGGCCTTTGAAAATTTTCCCTTCTGAAAAATGGAACTGTGTATAAAATCTAACTTTCAAATGTGCCTCAGCACTCAGCTTCAGCATTGAGAAGACTTGCAGATACTCAGCACTTTCTGGACACCAGATGTTTATCAGAAAAAAATATAAAGGAGGGCTTAAATCTGTATGTTATTTAACTAGTACAATATATTGTAAATGTATTTTTATGGAAGAAATGCTGGAATTTCTATTACACATTGAAGAGTTCTGCATTTCTTATGCTATGGTCTAGGCCTAGTTGTTTCCCATACCAAAGAAAGTATAAAAATCAATATATTAGACACTTGGGAAGCAAATCTTACAAAGATTTTAAATTTCAGGAAAAGAACTACAAGACTATGTGCATTTTGTCCCATGAGCATTTCTCCCTTATTACTACATGCCCTTGAAGTATGCCAGAGACTGTCAGTGTTTGTGTGCACTGAAACACTCAGATGTATACTGTTCAAAATCGTGGAATGGCTTCTGCTGATAACATTTCAAGCCATGAGAGCAGTTAAGTTGGGTTAATCAGTGACACACAGAGAGTAATTAAAATAGAAACGATTTACCCTGACCTGCATTTAACACATCTCTCTCCCGTTAGGTAAATGATACAAATCCTTTGTAAAGACCATTTCCTACTCCTCTAAACATCCTGAAATTCACATCATCGTAGTGGCTGAGCAGCCCTGAGGTAATTTTGAACACTGCAGGATGTCATTCACACTTACCCAGTTTGCAGGGAAGGGACACTCACCTGCTGAGTGATTCAATTTTTCAGAAGGTGCTTTGGGAGCTGTTGCAGGATTGTTGAACATATCCACGAGTGGGCTCGTGTACGCCCTGCCTGTGGGAGCCGGGGGCACTTTGGATGCATTTTCTTGGTGAGGATAAAAATCATTTCCAACCTGGAGCCACAGAAACAACAGTATGACAATACTGAGGGAACACCAATAACTTTTTTGCAAGATTGAATTCTAGAGAGCAATGCTTAAATATTCCTGAAGGATACACATTTAAACATGACATATAGCCCACACGTTTCTATGGAATTGCTGATTGAAAGTTTGTAAGTGGCTTGATAAACACTTACTAGTGGGAAGGCTACAATAGCCTTTTTTCTGCAAATAGCATGATGCTCTCCAGATTTTTCTTGTTTAGAAGTTTACTCTGATCTTTTAGAAATTTAGCAACTAATGATGACACAACATTCGAACCAGCAGAAATGAGAATTTCACCTGTAGTTCAATAAGCTAATAATCATGAAAGGAACAAAGAAAGAAAATAGAAAATTATATTTTTCTTAAGTTTACATTGAACTACTGAGTATGAAATGCTCTTACTTAGAGACAAGAATGTAGGAAATGGAATAGCTGGAACAAAAGTAGCCCTGAGGCCGAGTTCTGCAGGAGAAGCCCTGGGCACCCAGCTGAGAACTGAGCCTTGCTTGGACACGTGCTGCTCCCTTCTCTGCTGTGTATTTTCCCCAGAGCAGAGGGGATCATAGCTTGATGATCTTGGTTCCATGCCCAAGCCCAGCCTGTTCCAGCTGAGATACACCGTGGAGACCATCCCAAATGCTGAACTCTGGGAGCCCTGTGAGGAACAACGTACCAGGGCGTTTCTCTTCACCATCGGCGACGGCTGCGGCGTTCCCGAGACCGGGGTGGACCCAGGGGTCCTGATTTCATCTATCATCATCCTGACTTTTTCAGGCACTTTGGTGGCATCACTGCAAATTTCCTCCCACCCAGGCAGCTTGGATTTTAGGAAGTCCGCACACTGTGTCCAAATTAAAAGATACTTGTCAAAGCAGGCTTTTTCATAAAATTGCACAAATCTAGTGGTTAATTTTCATTGTACCAAAATGTTTACACCAGCAAAATGGAAGTATTTTCTAAGATTCTTCTAAGGAATACCTCTTTAAAACAAATAAGATATTGTAAAAACAACTCTTTTGCAGGGTCAGATATTGGAAGTACCTGATCAATCCACGTATTTTTTTCTTGATACATGATTAAAAAAAATCACAGTAACCCTTGATTTTTGCTATAATACATTTCATAGAATAGTGTATTGTAAACATTTTTTGTGAACTGGGCACAACACTTGTCTGGCACTTCAGTTCTTAGCGATTTCTGGCAGTCTGGCCTACATGCTGCAGGAAATACTCAATACTCCTGTGTGCCTGGATTTCAGGAGTTTAATTTCTGTTTACTCTCACAGCACTGACCTGAACATGGTAGAAGTGCATGTGCTGGGTAAAACTGCAGTGCTTGTCAACCAGAAAACAGAACCTTCTTTTCTCTTCAAGGAGAGCTTCTCTGCAGCCTTCTGCAATAAATCTCTGAATATCACTTTGTCGGGAACTCACGGTTTCCAAGTACTGAGGGAAAAAAAGAACCACATAGATCCTCTGAGTTTTATTTGATGCTATATCCAATTAATTAAGAAAACTCTAAAAACCTTAGAAAAAGCTTTTGGAAAGGCAGCGTGGGATAGGCTCTACTTCGAAGTCCCTCTCTTTTCCTGCACAGATCTGACTTCCCTGATCTCATCAGGTGAATGTATACTGTCCCCAAAGACAATTAGCAGCCTATTTAGGGGTTGTGAGGGGGGTGTGTGGTGTGTGTTCAAATTAGACTAATGACCTTTGTCTGCACCACCACAGCTCCATTTATTCACACAAAGCTGTGATGAATCTCTGCTTCATTTGGAGGGGGGGATACGAGTTACTAAAAAGACTGAACTATATTTATCTGAGATGATGAGGATTCATTAAATGCTAATCCTTGAACTCGAACCCAGAACTTTCAAAAAGCCCTCAACTCTTATGAAAGCAGGTGAAAAGACAGGCAGTAAGAAATAGGAGCTTATTTATTGTATTGTGTTATACACAAGAGATTTCTTTGGAAATTAAAATAGCTATGGAGAAAAAAAATATATAAGCTAGAAGGAAACACAAGTGTCATGAAAATAAAAGTATCAATGGCAAGTATTTTCAGAGAGACACATGACAATGAGAATCTGATTTACTAATTTTAAAACAGTTTCTCTTCAGTGTGTTGCCATTTCAGATTTCACCTCAAGATGGCAATGCTGGATTAAGGGCAGTAGGAAAGGCAATAACACAAGCTGGCACTGCCTGCTTAGGGAAATTACTCTATAGCAAATTACTACTGAATTTGCATAGTTCAGCTGGCTCCCTGTGTAGAGCTCTGAATAAAGGTGTAGTTACAGATCCATTATTGGCCAAGGGATGAAATCTAGGAACCAGAAGCCTCTGAATATGTACACTGGAGCAGTGAGAGCTCAATTGCAGCTGCAGTACAAACTCTAGGAGTGCCTTTAGCACACACCAGCTTCGAGGAACCATTAATGTTTTCTGTTGACCAGTTCTCATACAGACAATGGAACAAATAAGAGACAATGCACTGACCTCCATTTCTTTGTGCTCATACTTCGTTACATTTCGTGCTCCTTGGCTTTTCCTTCTGATTTTTTTCAGCTCAGCCTGAGACTTCTCTAAGGAATCCAGTTTGCTTCTGTGTTCAGTTTGGTACCTTTTTAAAGTTGCCTGCAAGCAAAGCATTTACATCCTCTCATAATGCACTCAGCCTTGTATCTGGGTAAGGGACTGAAAAACATTACTGTGATCTCTGAGATCTTGCTCACACACCCCAAATGACTTCAGCAACTGCTGTAGTTTTATAAGGAGCTATGAAGTCATACAGGGGTTCCCTTTTTAACTTAAATTAAGCATGAAAATCTTGGCCATCTTTGTATATCTAAAGTGCATTTCTATTAAAGTTTGTATTGATTAATTAAATCTTGGGAAACAGTGTCTCAAAAAATTGACTAGCAATAGGCAAATAAAATATGAGTTTTAGAACTGAATGTACTTACAGTCATATATTTTACATCCAGGTCTGTTTTCTTCTCCAGTTCAGATATAATTTCTTTATGAAACTTTTTGAACTTTAAAAACAAATGAATTAAGCATTATTAAAAATTGGCAAAAGTAGATTATAATTGCACAAGGAAAATGAATTAGAAAAAATTATTTAACTTACACTTTCCTCTAGACTGTCATTAAGTTTCTTGTGTGTTCTTGAGATTTCTACCAGAACTTGGCCTGTTGATAAACATACAACTCTATTGGTTTCTTTCTTAGACTTCTGAAGTTAGTTAACAAAGAGCAGTAATAAAATACATTTAACTAAATATTCATTAATGGTTATATTTAAGAGGGGTAGGAAATTTCTTGCTGTTGCTTATCACAGCAGCTGAAATGAATAATTCACTCTGGCCACAGACAAACCAAGCAGTTCATAAGTGATAGAAGAATAACTAATCATGCACTGTTATGAAAAAGGGACCTGGAGTGTCTGGAAAAACTTCCTTCTCTCCAGAACAGCTTCTATTGGTTTAGTTCACAGCCTCTTTTCACACCAAGTCAGAGAATAGCACACAAGTTGTTACTACCCAAATAGCTGCTATCCATTTCATAGTCTGAAAACTAAACTTCAGTGTTTATTAAGTTACTGCACCTTCAGAGTCAACAAAGCAACCTTTCAGTT